GTCCGCCGCCGCCGAGCCCGCCACCGCCGAGCCCGCCGCAGCCGAGCCCGCCGCAGCCGAGCCCGCCGCAGCCGAGCCCGCCGCCGCAGTCGAGTCCACCGCCGAGTCCGCCGCCGAGTCTGAACGGCGGTTTGACAGATTTAGAACAAGCTGCCATCGCCGTCGGATGCATCACAGCAGCGATCGTCATCGGCATTACTGTCCGCGTCAGACTTCGCCGTTACGCCGACGACAAGCCGCACGCGCGGCGTGGTGTCTATGAGGGCGCCGCGCCGGCGCCGCACATCATCGTCGTGCAGCGGTAAGGCGCACGCGATATCCAAGAGGTACAGATACCTCCACGCCCACGGTCGAAAAGCGATCCAGCGACGCGAACAGGCCTCGCCCGTCGCGTCTGGTGTCGACCAATACGCGTCATTACGATGAACACTTTATTTTGAAAACACTTCATGCGACTTAAGACGCACCCATCCCCGCGCGCTGAACTCGATTGAGGTTTCCTGGATTTTCACCAATCCCTCGACGCATCTCGTGCGTTAAAAACGTCGTGGACGCGAGCCGTCTCGTCGCGACGATGATTTGACAAATCATTTGTCATCGATGGCCGGCTGTGTAGTGAATGAATGTTCCACGGTGTATCGGTGCGCCGGACGCACACTGCGCGACACGCACGCGCGCCTCGCGTCGACGCGCGCGCGGCGACGCGTCCTCGCGCGCGTCGATCGGACCCACCATGCCGTCACCGCCGCCGCCGCGAATCCGCGTTCGAATTCTCACCGAACCCATCGACGAACGCGAATCCATCGAGTTCGTCCGCTCGCCGCTCGCGGGGGCGATCTCGACCTTCATCGGCACCGCGCGGAACACGTATCGAGGCGTCGACGTCCTCGAGCTCGCGTACGAGTGCTACGAACCGCCGCTCTCGAGCGTTCGCGTTCGCTCGCCAACCGTCTCGCGACGTCCGCCAACCGCCCCGCCTCGCCCCCCCCCACCTCGCTCGTCGACCGCCGTCGCCCGCGCGAGAGCTCGCGTCCACCACCCTCAACTCCCACATCCTCATCGCGTCGAACGTCCAGATATATCGTCACCACGTCGCGTCGATGATCGAACGCGCGTTTACACGTCGGACACGTCGCCGTCGCGTCGTCCCCCCGTCCCCCTTCGTCCCGTCCACGTTCCCTCGGTCGCCCCTGTTCGATCCATCGCGAGATGCATCGCACGTGATAGACGTGTCCGCACGTCCCCAGCGCCTGCGCGGTCGTCCACACGCGCGGTCGAGGTCAGTCGCGCGCGTTCGTGCGCCCATCGTGCAATCCATCACGCGTGGACGTTCCCTCGACGTCGCCTCCCTCGTCCCCGTCGACGCCCGCGCGCGGTCTCACGCCTCAGCGCACGCACCGCGCACTTCCCCGCGCACGTCTCGAGGCACACCGCGCACTGGGACATGCGTCGGGGTGTGATGATTCATGAATCAATGGAATCATCACCACTCGAATGTCTCGACGAGTGCCCGCACACGTCCGACCGACCCCCGTCCCGCCCTCGGGCGACGTGACATACGAAACGATGCATACGACATACGCACCGAGCGCGCGCGGACGACCGACGCATCGGCGGTCGATCGCGCGCGACGCGTCTCCCTCGCGCGCGCGCGATCGACCGCGCATCCGTCGGCGCGACCGCGTGCGTCGTCTGGGGTGTCCGTTCATATCCCCTCGTGCGCGCGAACAGGCATGGTACACCGACGCGGGCGACCACGCCGTGACCCACGACGCGATCGACGCCCCATCGGCGACGACCGTACGTATCCCACGCGACGACGATTCGACCGACCACGCGATCGACGCCCCGTCGGCGGCGGCGACGCGCGAACCTCCTCGTGAGAAGTTTTTAAAAGGAGGCGCATCGCGCGCGACGCGCCGCTTTCGTGAAGCATACGACGCGCCGCACGCGTCGTCGTCCTTCGCGACGCGCCGCGGAAGCGCCCGCGGTGGCGCCTCGCGACGACGACGCGCGACAAAGACCCGCGCGCGACCGGGCGACGGACGACGCGTCGCGTCACGCGCCGACCGAGGACGACGGAGGGTTTAGGGTTTATCGGCGTCGCCCACGCGATGCCGATGTCGATGTCGACGCCGATGCGATCGCGGTCGACCACACGCTCGCGCGCGCGTCGCCGCCGCGGACGCTCCGAGACGCGCCCTCGATGTCGCGCGCGCTCTGTGGTCGCGCGCGCGCGTCGAACGCGCGACGCGTCGACGCGGTCGAGGCGTCGGGACGCCGAATGGGCGATCGGAATGATCGACGTCGCGCGCGCGCTCGGACGCGCGCGTGCGCCGCGCGCGGGGGAGGACGAGCGGCGCGCGCGGCGGGCGAGGACGCGGACGCGGACGTAGGGTCGATCGCGCGCCGGTTGGAGTTTATGGTGGAGATGCGGTGTGAAAAGTGCGCGATCGCGACGCGGCGGGCGGTGGGGGCGCTCGGAGGCACGCGCGCGGTGGACGTCTCGGTGTCCGCGAACACGGCGACGGTGGTGACGTCGGACGCGGCGTCGACGGTGCGAGCGGCGATCGAGGGGGCGGGGATGCGATGTCGGTTGATCGGGAGCGGCGGGGTGGATGGGGAGGTTTTCGGCGGCGATTTGGCGGCGGCGCTCGGGACGGATGCGCGGACGCTGCGACAGAGCGTCGCGGCGGTGGCGGAGTTTAAGGGCGAGGCGTACGGGCACGGTGACGTCGTGGGTGTCGTGCGATTGGTGCAGGTGAACGCGGAGACGATACTGGGAGAGGCGACGCTCGGGGGGTTGGCGCCGGGGACGGAGTACGAGGCGACGATTCGGACGTACGGAGACACGCGGAGGGGAATCGAGAGCGCTGGGGAGGTGTACGACGTCGAGACGGCGACCGCGGAGGGAGGGCAACGTGCGGGTGAGATCGCGGTCGTCGTGAGCGATGCGCGGGGGGAGATCACGCTTCCGGCGACGATTCTGAGCGACGGGCTGAAGACGTGGGACGTCATCGGTCGAAGCGTCGCGCTGAGGAACACGGAGACGAACGCGAGCGTGGTCGCGGTTTTGGCGCGAAGCGCGGGCGTGGGGGAGAATCATAAGAAACTGTGCCAGTGCGACGGCACGGTGATTTGGGAGGCGGACGAGGATTTCTTACCCGTGGCGGCGAAACCGAGCCGAGGAACGAGCGGACCTCTGTTTGAACGCGGGATGCAAACCGTTCGTCGAGGCGAGTGAGGGTTCGCGCGCGCGCGGAGCGGCGACGATGACGAAATAAAAACCGTGGAAATATTTTGTTATGAAAACGATGCGTGTGTTTCGAATAAAGATGAACGCGGAAGACGAATCGACGTTCGCGCGCGCGTCACTTGATCTTGATGAGAGACGGAAGGACGACGCCGTCGATCGCGCGCTTAGCCTCGGCCCACGTTTTCGACGCTCTCGGGCGACGCGCGTGTACGGCGAACGAATCAACGACGTTTGCGCGTAGATTTGGCTCGCGATCGATCGCTCGCTTGGCGGGCAACGGCGGGAACTCTTCGACGCGAAGCCCGGATTCGCGTTCGCGCGCGCTTTCGGCGCGCGACGCGTCGTCATCGACGCGCGATCGAATCGGGAGCTCCATTGAACGAGCGATGACCGCACTCCTGGGTTTGGGCGGGAACTCCGGATTGGACGTCCGACCGACGCTCCGCGGATGATTCGGTGGTGGCGCGTGCGCCGGCGGAGCCGGAGCCGGCGGCGGCGGCGGAGCCGGAGGAGCCGGCGGCGGAGCCGGCGGCGCGGACGAACGATCCGCTCGACAGAGCACCGTGATTCTCTTCGGCGTGGGAATCGTCTGGTTGTGAATTTTCGACATCGCGGCGGGCGACGCGCACGACGCGCGTCGGGCGGATGATTTCACGTTTCCGCTTCGCGCGGAGACGCGATCGACGCCGGACGACGCCGATTTCCTTCTCGAGGATCTCGCCTTGACCCATATCCCGGGTGCGGATGATTCTGCCCAGCGATCGTCGCTCGCACCGATATCGAGCTTGGACGAAGCGTCCACGACGGCTTCGGGAGACTCGACGGATAACTCGGCGGATAACTCGGCGGATGACTTCGCGTCCGCGAGCTCCGCGACGTCCTCGGATTGAGGCTCGACTTCGAGCGATGTTTCCGTCGCGCTCGCGATTGCGTTCGTTTGAATAGCCTGTGTTTGAATCGTGTTACTGCGCCGCTTCTTCTTCTTCCCTCTCGCCGTCGACGACGGATTTCGCGAAGACGCGTCCTCGAGCTCGAAATGTCTCAACGCGTCTGCGAGCACGACGTCATCCGCGTGCTCGGCGTGCGCTCGAGCCGCGTCGTCGATGAGCGCGATAAAAGTGGCGCAGCGCGCAATTTTGATTCCGTACGTCAAGAGCTGACCGTCTCGATCGAGCGCTCGAACGACGCGATGTACGACTTTTCTCAACTCGCCCGAGGCGTACCGCTCAACGATTGGACGCACTCGGCGGTGCAACGCGGTGACGTCATCGTCAGATGCGTCTGAGCGCGCGATGACTTGTGGATGAGGATGATTTTCTGTCGTCCTCACGTCGCGATCTCGCGCGAGATCCAATCTCAAATCACTCACGGCGCACCTCAAGTCACGCATGGAGTCGCGCAGTATCGACTTGCAATCCGCCTCGCCGTCGGCGTACGATTTATCCACCACGCGACTCATCGATCCGATCGACGCGTCGAGCGAGTTCACCGCACGAACGGCTAAAACGCATTTCTTAGCGAGGTCGTTCATCTCGCGCGCGCTCGGCGATCGAGTCGCCAACGCGAGCTCGTACGCGCGGATTTCCTCTCGCAAGCCGAGCTCGAGCACCGCGGCGTCGCTCGCGTGCTTCGTCATCACCCGTCGATAACACCGATCGCACTCGCGCAAGTAGTAGCGCAAACGTCGATCGCCGCACGTAAACTCCTCGTGTCCGAGCTCCAGGGCGTAGACGGCGTCTCTGAAATCTTGCCAGGACTCGAGCGCTTTCTCGAGCAATTCGCCGCGTTGAATCGCGCGCAGCGCGTCGCCGTCCGCGATCGTGTGCGCCATCTCGCGAGCGTAATTTTCGCGCTCACGCGTGTCCGCGAGCCACGCTTTCGTGATCGAATACACCTTCTCCGTCGTCTCGTCGTCGATGCGATTGACGACCTCCAAGTCTCTGTCCACGATTTCCTTGGATAATCCGTCATTCGCGGACGAGTCGGCGGCGGAAGAGGACGCCGATTTGGTCGTAATCGCCACCGCGACGACGCCACCGCGACGATGAACGACGTCCACGCGCGTTTGAGGCGTCGTCGCACCGTCCGCGGGAGACCCTTCGTCCACCGAACGCGCGTTCGAGTCGTCATCCTCGCGCGGCGTCCGAGCGAACGCGCGAAGCGCGTCCAATCCGGAGAGCAAAAAGTTCTCCCACAGCCTCCGCAGACGCGCTCTCGGAGATCCTCAACGCATTTGATTCCGCGTCGTACGCGTAGACGGACGAATCTCCGTCGACGTCGCCGCTCATCGACGACGTCATCGCTCGAAGCGTCTCCCGCGCCGCCTCTCGCGCGTCCTCCGTCGCCCCATGCTTCTTCCCCAGATCACGCCCCGCCCCGCCCCCGCACGCGGCGTCATCGAACCACCGATCGATCATTCGCTCCACCTCCGACACCGCGCACGTCAATCTCGATCGCTCCGCGCTCGCAAACGTCGCCAACGCCGCGCCCACGGTTTCGTCCTCGATCGCCACGCGCGTCGCCTCCGAGCCACCCCCCAGAGCGCCCATCGCGCGCGTCGACCCCACACCGCGCGCGCGACAAAACACGCCCAACAACTCCCGCGCGCGATCGCGCGCGCGCCCGTCGCGCGCGCGCGCCCGTCGCGCGATCGCGCGTCCGCCCATCCCGCGTCCGCCGTCTCGGAAGACG